TCAAAACTAACTAAGAAATGAAATAAAAGGATGTATCCAAATTTATTACCATGTTTATGTTTAATGTTCTCTCCTAACAGCTCACATAATACATTTATGTACATATATACATATGTTGAATATTTGGATTTAGGTTAATTATGCTTTTTATGATTTTATATCTAATTTTTATTTTAAATAAAAAGTTTGTTTAGTTTTTTTTATATACAGAGTAACAGAGTGATACGTCAAACTTCTTGTAGATAAATATGATTACCTTTTTCCTTCGTCATTTTGTTAGTATATAAAAAAGATGAAGCACTAATTTTAATTTTATGATAACTTAGATATTAGAGATAATTTGCAATTACTACCAATACCAACAACAAAAATTAATGTCAGCTGATATTATTGTTATAGTTAAATTACAATTTATAAAAACAGTAACATTACGTGATTATATGGCTGTATCCTATAAGTATCCATTTGATAAATTACCAAACTTAAAAAAAAAGTGAAATGAAACAACATTTTCAATTACTCTAATTTATAGTCTTACATTTGTCAATAGTTTTATCCTACTGTAATCCGTCAACAAATTGTTGTACGGACCACACGTTTAAGTTAGAAATAACTATATGATTGGTTTTCAATCCGAAAGAACGGAGTTAATAAGAAAATAAATGTACGATGATTGGTTATCGATATATAGAATGTAATAAAATCAATGATATATCTAAAGAACCTAATTTAAATTTAACAAATTTGTTTATAAGGAAAAATGATTTGACAACTACATTTCCATTAAGATACTCATTTTACTTAAAACTTTAAAAGTTTACCAAAACTCATATATCTCCCATGTCAGTATGAGTTAAACAGCCATACTTCCTGAGTCACTATATATGTTTTGGTGACTATCACTCACCTAACAAAACAAAACAAAACCATTCCACACTAAGAATTTGAGCAGTCATGGAACCAGTTAATGATGGAGAAATAGTGGAGGCTCACAGCGAGGTTACTACCGGCGTCTCACCATATCAGTCACCTCAAAGGCTCGTGATTGAGAATACTCCGGCGAATCTAAGCCATGACGTTAAATATATTCAATACAATCTTAGTGGGAATATCTTTGAAGTCACCGCAAAGTATCAGCCACCAATCAAGCCTATTGGCAGAGGTGCTTATGGCATCGTTTGGTAATTTTCTTTGAACATTTTTTTAATCATTTGCCTCTGTTTTTGTTTGTAAATTTTCTAGATTATGTTTAGTAAATGCCATAACCTTTTCTGTGTAAGGATTTGTAAAATTTCTTCCATTTACGAGCAATATCGAAATCATTTTTCAACGTCAAAATTTGATGAATATCGTGAATGGTAAAAGCTAGCGGATAAATGATATACCATCTATGATATTTGTGTTCTTCTAGTTGTTCTGAAG